GTTACGTAACACTCGACTTACGTTAAATTCGACTTTACGTATAAGTTCCACTAAAAATAATAAAAAGCTCTTTGAGGTGTGTAGACTTTCTATGTACCGTTACGTACGAGCAAACTCGGGGTAAAACATTTGTGGCCGCGTAGTATTGTGGAGGAGTGTTGATGATTCTGACGATGTTACGGAGGAGTTTGCTCTCCCCCCACCCCCCCCTACTAAATCTCCTCCTACCTCCGCGTTCTAGTCGCATCACCATCACACCACAAATGCCATTCCTTCATATTATCAGGTCAACTCTACGAGTTGAGGTAATGTGTCAATACTGTAAATGTTCAATTAAGCATCTATTTTCAATTATTACGGTAGTTTACTTTATTTCAACTCAATTCTTACGGAAGGAAAATGTATTGTATTGTCGTTATTTACGCTGTGAAGGTCGCATTTTAGTATATTTAGGTTAGGTTAGGACAGGTGACCTAACATATCATAACATAACCTACTGAACGTAAGAGACGCAATGCCTAACCTTTATATATTTAAATGAATAAAAGCGGATATAAGTTTCCATAAATAAAGAAAACTGGGTTTACTGACATTATGTTTCATTTAACTTGCTGTATCCAAACCTAACCAGACTTGATCTAACCCAAATATACGGTACAAAAAATGGATGTAACTGTTCAGGAGCAAAAAATTAATCTACTGACACTTAAGTTTATTTAACTGAACGTATCCGAGCATAACGAAACTTAACCTAACCAGAACTTACCACTCCTGACCTGAACATATCTGTTCTCGCATAAAATGTGACTTGGTTGGGAGATGAATCCAAATTCACCTTAATAATCTCTAGTCTCGGCTCACACACCCTATGATAAGTTTCTGCTCTCATGTCCACCTTTCCTCGTCACTTACAGTTTTCCCGTTCATTATTTCACAAACACTCATGATCAATATTCTATTAAGATTCAAATTATGATCCCTCATTTTGTACCCAGACGCTCGGTGCATGATACGCCTCAGCTTGGAGTCCACATAGTGATCGGGATACAGGGGGCATGAAGATCCACCTCATCTTTTTTCATCCTTGTTACTGGCATGGGGAGGGGGGGGATTTCTGGCCATCATGTAACCTAACCTAACCTAACCTAACCTGGCAGGGAGGGATTTCTGGCCATCATATAACCTACACTCCTACAGTTATTAAAAAGTAAAATATCTCATCTGTTATCAACCCCCTAGCTAATATTAAGTCATCACGCACAATAGGTTACAGGAGGAGCTTCATATGTTAGAGGTGACTGTGTGTGCGTAGTGGTGCTGTGTGTGGGTAGTGGTGTTGTGTGTGCATAGTGGTGCTGTGTGTGGGTAGTGGTGTGTGTGTGTGGTAGTGGTGCTGTGTGTGGGTGAGTGGTGCTGTGTGTGGGTGGTGGTGCTGTGTGTGGGTGTGGTGTTGTGTGTGGTAGTGGTGCTGTGTGTGGGTAGTGGTGCTGTGTGTGTGGGTGGTGGTGCTGTGTGTGGTGGTGCTGTGTGTGGGTGTGGTGCTGTGTGTGGGTGTGGTGCTGTGTGTGGGTGGTGGTGCTGTGTGTGGTGTGAGTGGTGCTGTGTGGTGGTGGTGCTGTGTGTGGGTGGTGCTGTGTGTGTGGGTGTGGTGGTGCTGTGTGTGGAGTGTGGTGCTGTGTGTGGGTGGTGGTGTGTGTGCTGTGTGCTGTGTGTGTAGTGTGTGCTGTGTGTGGTGTGGTGTGTGTGGGTGGTGGTGCTGTGTGTGGGTGGTGGTGCTGTGTGTGGGTAGTGGTGCTGTGTGCTGTGTGTGGGTAGTGGTGCTGTGTGTAGTGTGCTGTGTGTGGGTAGTGGTGTGTGTGGAGGTGTGGTGCTGTGTGTGGGTAGTGGTGCTGTGTGTGGGTGGTGTGCTGTGTGTTGTGTGTGTGTGTGTGTGTGTGTAGTGGTGCTGTGTGTGGAGTGTGGTGCTGTGTGTGGTTGAGTGGCGCTGTGTGTGGGTGAGTGGTGCTGTGTGCGGGTAGTGGTGTTGTGTGGGGTAGTGGTGCTGTGTGGGAGTGGTGCTGTGTCTGTGTGTGGGTAGTGGTGCTGTGTGTGGGTGGTGGTGCTGTGTGTGTGGTGAGTGGTGCTGTGTGTGGTGTGGTGTGCGCCTGGTGTGTGCTGTGTGTGTGTGTGTGTGGTGCTGCGTGTGTGGTGGTGTGGTGTGTGGCTGTGTGGGTAGTGGTGCTGTGTGTGGTGTGTGTGCTGTGTGTGGCTGTGTGTGTGCTGTGTGTGGTGTGTGGTGCTGTGTGTGGCTGTGGTGTGTTGTGTGTGGGTGAGTGGTGCTGTGTGTGGGTGTGGTGCTGCGTGTGGCTAGTGTTGCTGTGTGTGTGTGTGTGTGGTGGTGTGGCTGTGCTGTGTGTGTGCTGTATGTGTGTGGTGGTGCTGCGTGTGGCTTGCTGTGTGTGCTGTGTGTGGCTGAGTGGTGCTGTGTGTGGCTGTGTGTGGCTGTGTTGCTGTGTGGCTGTGTGTGGTGTGTGTGGAGTGGTGCTGTGGTGCTGGTGCTGGTGGTGTTGTGTGTGGCTATGTGCTATGTGTGTGGTGGTGGTGCTGTGTGCTGTGTGTGAGTGGTGCTGTGTGGGTGGTGGTGCTGTGTGTGGGTGGTGTTTGCTGTGTGTGGGTAGTGGTGCTGCGTGTGGGTGTGTGGTGCTGCGAGTGTGCTATGTGTTGCTGTGTGTGTGTGTGTGTGGTGCTGCGTGTGGCCATTGGTGCTGTGTGTGGCTGGTGTGCTGCTGGTGTGTGGTGTGTGGTGGTAGCTGCGTGTGGCTGTGGTGGTGTGTGTGGTGTGTGGTGGTGTGTGCTGTGTGCTGTGGCTGTGTTGCTGTGTGTGGAGTAGTGTGCTGCGTGTGTGGGTGCGTGGTGCTGCGTGTGGCTAGTGTTGCTGTGTGTGTGTGTGTGTGTGGTGGTGCTGCGTGTGGCGTGGTGTGTGTGTGTGAGTGGTGCTGTGGGTGGTGGTGCTGTGTGTGGCTGTGTGCTGTGTGTGGGTGTGGTGCTGCTGTGTGGAGGTGCTGTGTGGTGTGTGTGTGACTGGTGTGTGGTGCTGTATGTGTGGGCGTGCTGTGGTGTGGTGTGCTATGTGTTGTGCTGTGTGGTGGTGCTGGTGTGTGTGCTGTGTGTGTGCTGGTGCTGTGTTGCTGCTGTGTGTGGGTACTGGTGCTGTATGTGGTGTGGTGCTGCGTGTGGGTAGTGGTACTGTGTGTGGGTAGTGGTGCTGCGTGTGGCTAGTGTTGCTGTGTGTGTGTGTGGTGTGGTGCTGCGTGTGGCTATTGGTGCTGCGTGTGGCTATTGGTGCTGCGTGTGTCTAGTGGTGCTGTGTGTGGGTACTGGTGCTGTATATGGTAGTGGTGCTGCGTGTGGCTAGTGGTGCTGTGTGTGGGTAGTGGTGCTGCGTCTGGCTTGTGGTGCTGTGTGTGGGTAGTGGTGCTGCGTGTGGATAGTGGTGCTGTAATAACATTAAAGCATTAACAAAATATTAAACGCAGATTTTATACTCAAGTTTTTGTGGACAGTAATACAAGATGGTCGGGGTAAAGAGTAAACACCTACACATTCTATCCATCAGTTGTAGTTTTAGTCCTGTTGCCGTATATAATTAACTGACGTGTTTACCTTCAAATGTATGGCCGATTAGCGTTACTATTATTTTCTTTTTGGTAACTTCTGACCGGCCATAAACGATCATATAGATAAATGTAATATTGTACAAATAAAAGAATAAATTCATACATAACTTAACCTAACCAAATGTAACCTATTTTATTATAATCTGGTTATCTTCTGAGTGTAAATATTTCTTAAATGAAAAAGAACAAATTTGACCTCGTACGAAATAATTTCTATAGTGTTGTAACAATAACAAACAGTTTTTCCTACGTTATAAGATCGACACACACACACACACACACACACACACACACACATAAAAAACAATAAAAAAAAATAAAAAATAAAAAATAAAAAAATAAAAAAATAAACACTTGTACTACAGTCCAAAATTCAGCACAAACCGAAGTAAATAGATGAAATTGAATATCCCTTGGCATAGAAGGGCAATAACTTCTACAGATTACTTCCGGCGCCAATCTTTTCTTTTATTAGGTGGGGAGCGGAACCCTGGGCGGCCCTATAACAAGACCTGCTGGGCCAATATTGTCTGGGGGTTCACCGTCTACATGGAGCCGAGTACAACCTCTGGGCAGACCGCCATTTCCTCCATACATCGTGAAGAAAGGAGCTGGATTATTAAGTTATTGTAGGTATAAGTAGGTTGAGAATGTTTATATATCACGAAACCTGGCGCAATATTTAGACGAGACTTTTTCGTTGTGTCAATATGAAGGGAAAAAATACACACACACACACACGTACGTGTGTGTGTGTGTGTGTGTCACTAAATAGAGATAATTACCGACCGGTAATGACGATACGGAGCGTGGCGATTGAGTGGCTGTAGCGCTCGCCTCCAGTTCCAGGGAGCGGTGTTTCGATTCCTGGGCATTCCCGCTGACTCCTTGTGTACTGAAGGCTTAGTATACTGTACAGTGTGCTGTATCCACACTGTCCCTAACTGGCAGTCATGTTCTTGGGACACACTTTCACTTAACAGCGATAAATTTGATGTATTTTTTTTAAACCTTCCTACTACCAGTGACGTTCATGTAGATCAGGGGTCACCAAACTTTTTTCACAGTGGGCCGGATAACTGAAAGAATGACGAGCGCGGGCCGCATAATCATTCTGTTCAATACTTGCAAGCCAGAACGAAAGCTCTGGGAAAAAAGACGAAAAACTAAGTTTAGCATTCTATGTTAATCATGGGTGAGTGGCGTGCAATGCACAAAAAACAAAGACAACCAACATATTTATTTACTAAAAAGTTATCAAAGAAGGCGACGTTAGCAAAAAGATAGTTACATTAGACCTAGTGTGCACATATCCGAATCTCACAAACTAAGCAGCAAAAAAGGTTAGTGAGATTTGTGAAACTGACGTTTGGCTTTCAAGATATCATCAATGTTTGGTTTGGAATTGCTGCATCCAATCAAGAGAATTGCTTTCAAATGTTCATCAGTCAATTTCGTTCGATGTGTTGACTTCACATACTTCATTTTTGAAAATGTTTGCTCACAGACATAAGTTGTTCCAAACACTGATGCCATATCAGCGGCAAATTTCTTCAGTTTCGGAAACTCAACATCAGGTAAGCAGCGGTAAAATTCAACAAGTTTTCCTTCTCTGTGCTTCTCTTTCAACAAGTCATTTGCTTGCAAATCAATGAGCTCCAACTGTAGTTCAACTGGCACATCATCAAGGTTACAATCAAACGGATTCTGGAACTGAAGAATGTCACTCTCAATTCTGTCAAGATCTGAAATTCTCTTCAAAAAATGCTTCTTCAAGTCACGAATAATTTTTTTCGGAAAATCGAGGTTGACATCTTCAGCGATTGTAGCGCAAAACTCTTTGAAACAGTGAAAATGAGAGAAGTTTTCTCCTTCCAGTTGTGCTTCAAACAATGACAGCTTTCTCCGAAATCCTTTGGTGATTCTGTAGAGATCACAGACGAGGTTATCCTTTCCCTGAAGTTTCAAGTTCAGTTCATTCATGTGGGATGTGATGTCGACCAAAAATGACAACTTTGACAGCCAGGTAGGATCTGACAGCTGTGGATCAGCTCTATCTTTTTCAGTGAGAAAAACATCTATTTCGTTTCGGAGCTTGTAAAAACGAAACAGGACTTTACCGCAGCTGAGCCACCTCACTGCTGTGTGATAAGGCAAGTCACAGAAATCAGAATCAATTTCTTCAAGAAAAGCCTGGAACTGACGGTGATTGAGTGCATGTCCCCGAATGAAGTTCACAGCAGAAACGACTGGTTTCAGTACACAAGAAATATCTAAGTCTTTCCCACAAAGTGCTTGCTGATGTATGATGCAGTGTATGAACAGAGCGCCCGGAATTTGCAAATCTTCCAACTGAGTCCTGATCTGCCCCACCAGACCCTTCCTCACTCCAGCCATGTTTTTTCCTCCATCAACTGTAACACCTCGAAGCTGATTCCACTGAAGGTTATAGTCTTGCAAAGTTTTTTGCACTTCCATGAAAATGTCTTTTCCAGTTGTTGTTCCATGCATGCTGCAAACGGATGCCAACTCTTCCGTTATCTGAAAGTCCAAATTGACACCACGAATGAACACGAGAAGTTGTGACGTACTCGAGAGATCAGTAGACTCATCCAGCGCCAGAGAATACCACAACAAGTTCTTAGCTTTCTCGTGTATCTGTAGCACTGTGTTCTCTCCAAGTTCTTCTGTTCTCCGCACAACTGAACTTGCAGAAAGGCTGATACTTCCAAACAAATCGGCTTTCTCAGGACACAAGTCATTTGCTGCTTCCATCATACACTCTTTGATGAAGTTGCCATCAGTAAACGGTTTTCCTCATTCTGCCATCTTATGTACTATTTTGTAACTTGTACGAGTGACAGATTCATTTTCAGCAAACTTTCTCGTGAAGAGATTTCTTTGAGTTTCTAAACCACGTTTCATGGACTCATATTTCTCAGAGCGTAACTTTCCAGAAAACTTTGAATATGTTGATAGATGTTTTGTTTCATAGTGACGCCGAAGATTGTACTCTTTCAAAACGGCAACACTTTCGCTGCATATTACACAACTAGCTTTCTGGTCCTTTGTTTCCACAAAGAAGTACTTTACTCCCCATTCTTCATTGTAAACGCGACATTCGGCGTCCACTTTTCTTTTCTTAGTAGACATAATGAAGGGTGAAGAAAACGGGATCTGAAAATGAAAAAGACATTGAATTAGAAACATAATTAAAATCCTATTGAAACACAAGAAAAGCAGAGGATTCAGGGGTCACTGGTGAAGCTACGGCTCACCAAAGGTACATATAAAGTTTATAGGTACCTTTGGTAATAGAATATATCACATAATAAGGTTTACAAAATATATAAATAGGGCGGGCCTAAATAAACAGCCGAGAGACCAGCTTGATTAACACCTTGACCGGGGAATTTTTCTGAGCTGGGGATAATATTTTCGTAATAACACGAGGCTTCTATGGCATTGTTATGCTATGTTTGCTACTTTATTGCCTCTATTCACACTTGTAGTTCACTTACCAACTGCAATGTACACACTTATTTGGGGAAACACACTTGTAAATTGCATTAGCAGACAAAAATATGGGTATTGTGGCTTGTAAATAAAATTTAAATGTCCTGCGCTAGTCAGCTGATGAGCAGGTGTGAGGAGCTGGGGATAATATTTTCGTAATAATACGAGGCTTCTATGGCATTGTTATTCTATGTTTGTTACTTTATGACCTCTAATCACACTTGTAGTTCACTTACCTATCACTGTCAAACAAAGAAATCCTTGTTACATACCTATAAAATGGATGACAGGCAAAAAGAAGTAAATATTTATGGAGCGTCGGACCTGTGTTGACAGCCGGACGCATCTGGGGGCGGGAAAGATGCTTGTTTGTGTGTGTTGCCATGGAAACCATGGTAACGTCAGAGCGTAGGCGGAGCTACCACGAGCCGGGGAAGGACTTGGGATGGCGCGAAATAAGCAAACATTACAATAAACAAGAAAATCTAGATACAATAATTTAAAATAGAAAATAGTAAATTTAAGGCACATAGCAGTCAGGAGGTCTCTGCACGCGTGAAGATCTCCTAGTATTCTAAACATAATATTTAAATTTAAATTGTATCACAACGTCTCGTGTTCCATACGTTTTATCAAGCAAATTCAAGTACCGTCGGCAGGCCTGATGAACTGACGTCGCGGGCCGGATCCGGCCCGCGGGCTGTAGTTTGGTGACCCCTGATGTAGATCATCATACATACAAGTGAATAAAATTAACCTAACCTAACTTAACTTAACCAGACCTCATTTGACCTGACCTAACCTTACCTAACCTAACCTTTTGGATATAATACTATAGTGGTAAACGACGTCTTAAATAAAAACGAAAAAATTTTACGATGTACAAATTAATTTTAATTAAGTTGTAACAATAATGAAAAAAATTATCCCCATTTTCCAAAAAATGGCAGTTGATTTTTAAAGCTACATCGGCGATTAAATATTCATGGCGTGATGATGAACTAATAAAATGTAGTATACTCCTCCCGCCTCTACGAGATGGTTATACGTTTGACTCGTGCAACACAGCGTCGTGATGCTACCTTAGTGAGTTTACATCTGTTATTGTGTGTGTTGACCCAGATGCGTCTGTCGGCCGGACTGTAGCTTTACGGACACTTGCCTCAGAAATGTGTATTGCTCTCGGTAACAAATGTCACCGAATATCACCTAACATAGATGTTTTAGTAACCTGGTGTTTCGGAGATAATTGATCAAACATGTATTTCTTTTTTAAGTACTGTACTTCAATTAACAGTATAGTCAAGAGAAGTTTAAAAATGACAATAAAACGTTTTTTCTGTTTTTACCATGATAAAAATAGAGGTAAAATAATACTGTGCTTGAGGTAAACACATATGAGAATTGTTTTGGTGGATGTCGTGTCGAGTGACAAACACGCCCAGGTACAAACCCGCCATTATGGACGCCACGGATAAAATTCTCTCTGATGGTCGGAGCGGGAGTTATTGACCCATAAATCTATTTTTACGATTGTTTCCGCAATTTGCATGACTCGGATTCTTACTGCCACCTTTAACGGGTCATAGGTCGCTCAGGTCATAAACATCACAAGTATCAGGTCATACACATCATTAGTGCAACCGTTCATACGCATCACTGGTACTACAGGTCATACACATCACTGGTACAACAGGTCATACACATCACTGGTACTACAGGTCATACACATCACTGGTACAACAGGTCATACACATCACTGGTACTACAGGTCATACACATCACTGGTACTACAGGTCATACACATCACTGGTACAACAGGTCATACACAACATTAGTGCAACCGTTCATACTCATCACTGGTACTACAGGTCATACACATCACTGGTACAACAGGTCATACACATCACTGGTACTACGGGTCATACAAATCACTGGTACTACATGTCATACACATCACTGGTACTACAGGTCATACACATCACTGGTACAACAGGTCATACACATCACTGGTACTACAGGTCATCACTGGTACTACAGGTCATACACATCACTGGTAATACAGGTCATACACATCACTGGTACTACAGGTCATATACATCACTGGTACAACAGGTCATATACATCACTGGTACTACAGGTCATACACATCACTGGTACTACAGGTCATACACATCACTGGTACAACAGGTCATACACATCACTGGTACAACAGGTCATACACATCACTGGTACTACAGGTCATACACATCACTGGTACAACAGGTCATACACATCACTGGTACTACAGGTCATACACAACACTGGTACTACAGGTCATACACATCACTGGTACTACAGGTCATACACATCACTGGTACAACAGGTCATATACATCACAGGTACTACAGGTCATACACAACACTGGTACTACATGTCATACACATCACTGGTACAACAGGTCATACACATCACTGGTACTACAGGTCATACACAACACTGGTACTACAGGTCATACACATCACTGGTACTACAGGTCATACACATCACTGGTACTACAGGTCATACACATCACTGGTACAACAGGTCATACACACTGGTACTAAGGTCATACACAACACTGGTACTACAGGTCATACACATCACTGTACTACAGGTCATACACATCACTGGTAGGTCATACACATCACTGGTACTACAGGTCCACACATCACTGGTACTACAGGTCATACACATCATACACATCACTGGTACTACAGGTCATACACATCACTGGTACAACAGGTCATACACATCACTGGTACTACAGGTCATACACATCACTGGTACTACAGGTCATACACATCACTGGTACTACAGGTCATACACATCACTGGTACAACAGGTCATATAAATCAAAGGTACTACAGGTCATACACATCACTGGTAATACAGGTTATACACATCACTGGTACTACAGGTCATAAAAATCAAAGGTACTACAGGTCATACACATCACTGGTACAACAGGTCATATAAATCCAAGGTACTACAGGTCATACACATCACTGGTACTACAGGTCATACACATCAATGGTACTACAGGTCATACACATCACTGGTACAACAGGTCATATAAATCCAAGGTACTACAGGTCATACACATCACTGGTACTACAGGTCATACACATCACTGGTACTACAGGTCATACACATCACTGGTACAACAGGTCATACACAACACTGGTAATACAGGTCATATACATCACTGGTACTACAGGTCATACACAACACTGGTACTACAGGTCATACACATCACTGGTACCACAGGTCATACACATCACATACACAGGTCATACACATCACTGGTACAACAGGTCATACACATCACTGGTACTACAGGTCATATACAACACTGGTACTACAGGTCATACACAACACTGGTCCTACAGGTCATATACATCACTGGTACTACAGGTCATACACACTGGTACACAGGTGGTACTACAGGTCATACACATCACTGGTACAACAGGTCATATAAATCCAGGTACTACAGGTCAAACACATCACTGGTACTACAGGTCATACACATCACTGGTACTACAGGTCATACACATCACTGGTACAACAGGTCATACACATCACTGGTACTACAGGTCATACACATCACTGGTACTACAGGTCATACACAACACTAGTACTACAGGTCATACACATCACTGGTACTACAGGTCATACACAACACTGGTACTACAGGTCATACACATCACTGGTACAACAGGTCATACACAACACTGGTACTACAGGTCATACACATCACTGGTACTACAGGTCATATACATCACTGGTACTACAGGTCATACACATCACTGGTACTACAGGTCATACACATCACTGGTACAACAGGTCATACACATCACTGGTACTATAGGTCATATACATCACAGGTACTACAGGTCATACACACACTGGTACTACAGGTCATACACATCACTGGTTCTACAGGTCATATACATCACTGGTACTACAGGTCATATACATCACAGGTACTACAGGTCGTACACATCACTGGTACTACAGGTCATATACATCACTGGTACTACAGGTCATACACATCACTGGTACTACAGGTCATACACATCACTGGTACTACAGGTCATACACATCACTGGTACAACAGGTCATACACATCACTGGTACTACAGGTCATACACATCACTGGTACTACAGGTCATATACATCACTGGTACTACAGGTCATACACAACACTGGTACAACAGGTCAAACACACCACTGAT